TTACAATATGAAAAGGTGACAAGACAGCCGTCAGAAAAGCTGCCACCTCTGATGTGGTAGGTGAATAACTTTTCTGAACAGCAAACGTTTAGCCAATAAGGACGTCCCAAGGGTTTGTGTCCACTTTGATAATAGTCACTTCTCTAAACACAAACCCAAGTTTTGGCAAACATAGTTTTGGATTTCAGAAAATCTAAAAGCTAAAAAGAAGAAGCCATCTTCAAGGAAGTATTATCCTCAAGAGCAACAGGGACCTGATAGAGCTGCAAGTTGTCTAGTTGTCTTAGGATTATATCTTCTGTGCTTACATTGTAAATCTATTCCTAACCTATAAAGGAAATAGATCTTTGTTTGGTTCTGCAAAAATTCTAAATCAGTTAGGTCGATTGGTTTAGTGGGCAACATTGTTGTTGCTTAGTTGAATTCTAAATCATCTAAGAGTTAAGTGGTTTAGTGGGCAACATTGTTGTTGCTTAGTCAAAGTCTAAATTGTCCAGAGGGTGGTGGTTTAGTGGGAAACATGTGTGTTGCTTAGTTGAATTCTAAGTTATTCTATGTCGGGTAGCTTAGTGGGTAATAGTGATATTGCTTAGTTGCTCTATTTGTAGTGGAACGCTACATTCAGGGGGAAGGGATTTAGAGGTAAATTCCTAGGTTGCAAGTTGTTGTAACCTGAATCGTTGCTCTATTTGGAAGAAATGGAGTTTGGTTTGAAAAGCATGTAAGGACAGGTCGTGGTTTTCACCACCCTTGAGCAAGGGGGTTTTCACGTAAAATCATTGTGCAGATTTTACTTCCAGCCATTTGCTTTCGGCATTTATTTCAGCTACTGTTCTTGCTGAGTCAAGGGACCTGGTTCGTTGACATATATTGGATATTGAATACTGTCTGTGCTTACATTTTGTTCTTACTGTGTCAAGGGACCTGGTCCATTGACTGTTAGTAGAAGCATACATTCCAACACAACCCAAAAAATATGATATCTAACTCAGTAACAAATAAAAAATTGTCACACTTAATGTAATGAAGAGACTCTATTCTTCTTATTTATAGTAATCAAACAGTGGAACTCCAAATTTCAACGACAAGAGTAACTTATGTATCAAATGCTACCTAGGATTCTCCATTCCTCGCCTCTACCTTCATGACATCAAGGTAAGATTTTCCATCAAGTTTTCGTGCAAAAAAATCCTGTAAATATTTTTGCACGACAACTCTTCGGAAAATAGGAGGATTATTTGGTCCAATGAGGCTGTGTGCAGGTCCTAATTCGGAATCAAGGTTGAAGGTAGAGAATGTATTTATAAAATATATTAGTTACATACGTAACACTATAAAACATACTTGTTATTTAAAATATTATAAAAGTGAATAAAATTCTTAAAACATCTTGAAACATATTTTGAATTTTTATAAAATTAGTTATTTCAAATCGTTTGGAATTAAGGAAGCTCGCAAACTAATTCTTATCGTGGAGGGTCAAAATTAGGTGTCAACAACCGATTAGTACTATTTCTTTATATTTAGTCCACATTAAGTCCTTTCAAGAGAAGTTGTTATTTACCTCCATCATATCGCCAATATTGACAATCAAAGCATTTGGGAGGGGCTTTATAGGCACCCAAATGTCGTCTTTTCGAACTTGGAGACCTTCAGTTTCATCGAGCTGGAAAAGGATGGTGAGGGCATCAGCATCAGAATGAGGGCTAAAGCCAATGGTTTTGTGTGGCTCAGGGCAAGGTGGATAATAATTCATCCTTATTGACTGCACACCATCACTGAATAGCTCTCTCATTTCATTTTCATCTATCCTTAAAGCCTTTGCCAATTGACATACGATGATCATTGCTAGGCTCTTGATTTCATTCGAGTATGCTTCTATAATGCCCCTGAATTTCAGGTAGGAAACTCACTCTCTCAATAGTCTAAATATGAAGCTCAAGAAATTGGATGTGATTTTGATACTTTTAACTCTTGAAGTAATGAACTCTGGAATAAAGTAATAGAGAAAGGAGACAGGCACCTGAGATTCGAGGGCAACTTCTGAAATAAGTCCACTTTCCGGATACGAAGAGGAAGAGTCATTATGCCAAACATGTCATTCCAATCAAGTTTCTGCTCCTCTGATACAACGAATGAATTCCCAAAACCTTCAAAGCTGTCTTCTTGTTGCCATAGTTTCTTCTTTTCTTCCATTGGAAGTTTGAACAAATCAATAACCTCTCTCTTGAAATCCTCCAGGATCGAAGGTGTCACTCCATGGTTTATAACCTATCATTCAACAATATACAAGCTAATTTCTCAAACTGTCTCTCAGCAAACAGTTTTTTCCTCAAAAAGTCACTCAACTATTTCCATTTCACCTATAAAGTCCCTCAACCAATTCAAGTTATATTTCCGATAGATATTGCTGACGCACAAAAATTAAGCCAAGTTTAAAAAAGAATAAAAAGAATTACTTCCAATAAAATAAAAGGAGAAGGTGCAAATATATATCGCCTAACTTTATCATTTAGAATACATATACCTCTTAAGAACCATTTTCAAAGCAAAAAAAATTATGAAAAAATGGAACCTGGAGGAAACCCCATTGTTGACATGCCGAGTGAAGCTTTTGCAGCTCAGAATCCATGGAATCCCCTGAAACCAACTTTTGAATATCGATAACTGGGACCGATGCTCCAGCGTACGTGACCGGAGATTCTTGTTCTGGGCGGACATACCTGGCCGGAATATTGGTTAGGTGCTGTTTGGCAAGCTCTTGAACACTTGGAACTAACAGAGATTTTCCAAAGTTCATTTTTGCCACCGGCGTTGATTCCATTTGCTCTTGTTACTAATTAAATTGAAAAGTATTAACGTCTGATGAAAAAGAAACAGCAGAAACCAGACCTATAGATATAAATGACTCCTTCAAACTATAGATCCCATTCAGCTTTGGGTTTATCTATTTCTTCCAAAACCATACAGTATTATTTATCAAGTAATAGTAATTTTTTCATATTTTAATTATATAATTTTGTCTTTGTATATTTACATCGCCGCCGGCCACTATTCCAAAGTAACAAATAAAAATTCTATGCCCGACAAAATGCTAGTTCCATCATACCAATATAATACTACAAGAAAGGAAACTTTATATTCTCAATAAAAATGAAGTGTGTGCTATTTTTATTCTTTGTAGTAATCAAACAGGGGAACTCAAAATTACAACAGAGCAACTTGTATTAGTGTATCAAATGCTACCTAGGATTCGTCATCCTTCACCTCTACCTTCATGTAATCAAGGTATGATTTTCCACTGAGTTTTCGTGCAAAAAAGTCTTGTAAATATTTATGCACGGAAACTCTTCGGAAAATGGGAGGATTATGTGGTCCAATGAGACTGTGTGCAGGTCCTAATTCGGATTCAAAGTTGATGGAATAGAATGTCGCAACAGAGAGCCGTTCTTCATTTGAGTTTACAATTGCTCTGTGCTCAATGCTTCTATAAACACCATTGCTCACTATCTGCCAAGTCAAATAAATCATTTATGTCCACAATAATTTAAATGATATTTTCAATAATAGAGTACCGTATTAGAATATGACCTCTTTCTTTACCAAGAACAAAAAAAAAGGTTTATAAAAGCAATTTGTTCAAAACAAGCAAGTTTTAATTATCCGAACTAGACATATTATCTTCCTTTTTGAATCATGTGAATTCCATTACTCATAAAGTCTCAATTAAGTCCTTTCAAGAAAATTCAGAAGTGTTAAATATGCGAAGCATGCTTTATGACACTGTGAATAAAACCAAACTTAACCAATAACTTGCACACCAAAACTACAATTTTCACTACGTCGCTATCCTCTGAAAAATAAGCTACTCAGTAAAAAGTTGTTATTTACCTCCATCATATCGCCTATATTCACAATCAAAGCATTTGGGAGGGGCTCTATAGGCACCCAAACATCGTCTTTTCGAACTTGGAGACCTTCAGTTTCGTTCAGCTGGAAAAGGATGGTGAGGGCATCAGGATCAGAATGAGAGCTTAAGCCAATTGCCCTGTCTGGCTCAGGGCAAGGCGGATAATAATTCATCCTCATTGACTGCATACCATCACTGAATAGATCTCTCATTTCCTCTTCATCCATCCTTAAAGCCTTTGCCAATTGGCATACAATGATCCTTGCTAGGTTTTTCATTTCTTTGGAGTATGCTTCCATGATGTCCCTGCATTTCAAACACACAAACATATTAAGGGATGAGGAGAGCGAAGATCAAGGCACAAGTTAGAATTTAGAAATACAATTTTTAACAAAAAGTATAGTTAACAAGTGTGGTGTATCTCAAGAACATTATGGGTAGGTTCATAACTATATTATTCCTCCTCATTTTGTGTTTATATATTATTAGCCCTAACAGCTTACCAATTTTATTGTAACTTACAAATCCTCAGGGAAAATAAAGTAAAGGGACCTTACTCCTGGTTAATGATCTAAGGGACGAATTTGGACTTCTCCCTAAAATTTTCTAAGAACTCGTTAATATCGTCGGATAGAGGAGTTTGTTGCTAAAATGGTCAATGAACTAGCAGAAATAGCAGAACAAAGTCAATTTTCTGACTTATCTGATATAAAAGTAAATTTGTTCACTTATTTCCAATAGTTCAGTGATCATTTAGGCAATGAACTTTGGAATAGAGTTGTTTATATAATCGTGTTCTGGAATAGAGTAATGTACAGGGTTTGGGGGATAGGCACCTGAGCTTTGAGGGCAAATTCTGAAACAAGTCCTCTTTGCGGATATAAGGAGGAAGAGTCATTATGGCAAACATGTCACTCCAATCAAGCTTCTGCTCCTCTGATACAACGAATGCATTCCCGAAACCTTCAAAGCTGTCTTCCTGTTGCCATAGTTTCTTCTTTTCTTCGATTGGAAGTTTGAACAATTCAATAACCTCTCTCTTGAAGTCCTCCAGTAATGAAGGTGTCACTCCATGGTTTATAACCTAACATTCAACAATATGCTAGCAAATTCAAAGTTTCTAAAAGTTGCATGTTTTGTTAAGAGTGCATGATCAAAAATATATTAAAAGTATCCCCATTTTTTGAGTTTACTACCTGAACTAATGTAATATCCCATATTTTAAACAAGGACATATTAGTTATTAGCTAAAAAAAAAAATCAAATGGGCCTTAGCCCATCAGAAACCTAATAAGGGGGGAAAAATTAAATTAAGCTAAAGAAATTATTGGAGTTAAGAGTTTTGTCAGCAACTCTTGGAAAAAAAAAAAGGAAGAAAGAGTATTTCTTGGAGTCTCTTCCTGTGAAGGAGCATGAAATCGATTAAAACAGAGAAAAATAACTAAATGGAGAAGAAGTGGAACTCTTGCTATTTCAAGTATGGATTTCAAGGTAAGTATCTTAACTTAGTTTAAAGATTGAATTTGTATATTCCCTGACTATAAATTTGAGAACTGAGAGTTTGAAAAACATGGGTTTAGAAGGAATAAAGGAATCCGTTAAACTCTTATTATCTTACGGTTTGAGTGAGTATGTTAAATGTTTGGACCAAAATTTTGTAGTTCGGCATTAACCGAAGAAGTATTGC